GGGGGAGGTTGGCGATGCGTCGGTGTTCCGGGTCTGGGGCTCTTGTGCCTTTGTTCGTGATACGTCCGCGGACAAGCTCTCCGCCCGCGCTATTCCCTGCGTCTTCCTTGGCTTCCCCCTTAACGCGCCTGGCTGGTAGTTTTACCACCCCACCTCGCGCCATGTCTTCCCCTCTCAATACGTCACGTTTGACGAGTCAGTTCTCTCTTACCGTCTCTTCCCCTACCGCTCTGCCCCTCCCCCGCCCCCACCGCTCTTCCTTGCTCCAGGTCCCCCTCCGGGGTCCTACTCCCTCAAGTGTGTCTCAGGCAGACCCTCTCCCTGGTGTTGTGCCTGTTGAGGTGCTGAGCCTAGGGGTGTTGAGCTTGCGGATGTGGAATCTGGGGGTGCTGAGCCTGAGGGTGTGGAGCCTGGGGGTGCCGATTCTGGGGGTGCTGAGCCTCGGGGTCCTGCTTCTTCTGGAGGTGGTGCGGGTGCTTCGCCACGTCTGTCTCCCCGGCCGGAGTCACTCTCTCTGCAGCAGCTGCAGGAGTGGTTTACTCAGCGCACACGCCTTCGGAGTGGAGCTGCTGGAGCTGGAGACTCTGCCGCTGCAGACACAGGAGCTGGAGGTGCTGGAGTTACTGCAAGAGCTGGTGGTACCGGAGATGCTGCAGCTGCTGGTCCTAGAGGTGCTCGTACCATGGGTACTGGAGCTACCGGAACTGGTAGTGTTGGGGGTGCTCGAGCTGGAGACCCTACGAAGCCTGGAGCTGCTAGGGCTGGAGGCGCTGGAGCTGGAGCTGGAGGTGCTTTTGGCACTGGAGCTGGAGGAGCTGGAGCTGTTGGCGCTGGAGCTGGAGGCACTGGCACGGGAAGCGCTGGACCTGGAGGAGCTGGAGCTGTTGAACCTGGAACTGGAGGTGCTGGAGCTGGGGGTGCTGTGTCTGGTGGTAGTGGTGCTGGAGGCACTGTGCGGACGTTCCCCTACTTCAGCAGGTTCTTGGTGTCCCGTCTTCTACTGGCCTTACTCCTCCATTACTGTGTCCACCGCCTGACCAGTAGCAGCCGCCGTTAGAGCCAGCCTCCCCACTGCCTGCTCCTTCGCCTTACACTGAGTAGACCGGCGGTCTTACAGAGCGTCGTGAGCCTGCGTCTCGTCCTGCCTCCCCTGTTCGCACTGGTCATCGCGTTCCTCGTCCGCATCCTCCTCCTGTCCCCGGCACACACGCTATGGAACTTCGTCCTTCATCTGTTCCCCTGTGTGTTCCTCTTCCTGCTCCTCCTGAGTCCTCTCTTCCTGTCATCCCTGACCCTGAGTCTGACCGCGCTCGTGCTGCCAGTCCCACTGTCTCTCGTCTCCTCGCGACCGTTGAAACTGACCCTTCTTTTGAGTCCACTGCTGCGTCTGCCCTCGTTGCTGAGCTGGTTGACTTTGCTGCTGCCTGTCGTCTAAACTACACCACTGCTCTTGTTGCTGAGTCTGAGTCTGCCAGTCCTCCGTCCGTCGGGGGTGAGTGTGCTCTTGGCACGGACGTCCTTGAGGACAGGCAGGAGGACTTTGAGTGTCTTGGAGCTGCTGTACCTTGTTTCGCTTCCATGCTACTTGCCCCTGGGGGAGACCCGGATGCACCAGACATCCCGACCCCGCGCTCTTAAGCAGAGGCGATTACGGGTCCTTACTCTTCTCACTGGCAGGCAGCCATGGATGCCGAGATGGCATCCTGGAAGTCCACAGGCACCTACGTCGACGCAGTTCCCCCGTCTCGGGCGAAAATAGTCGATGGCATGTGGATTTTTAGGGTGAAGCGGCCGCCGGGTTCTCTACCTGCCTTCAAGGCGCGTTACGTTGCTAGAGGCTTCAGTCAACGACAGGGGGTCAACTGCTTCCATACCTTCTCCCCCACCCCAAAGATGACTACTCTTCAAGTGTTGCTGCACGTCGCTGCTCAGCGTGACTACGAGTACAGTACAACTTTCTTGTAGGGCAGCCTGCACGAGGAGATCTGGCTGCGCCGCCCACCTGGCTTCACTGGGTCGTTTCCTGCATGTACCATGTGGAGCAGGGTTTAGGGTTTAGGGTTTAGGGTTTAGGGTTTAGGGTTTAGGGTCATCAGCGAGTGTAGTCCTCAGTGTGTCGTGCCACTTGCAAGGCGCCTGGCGAAGACCGTAGACTGGTCGCCGGAAACGACCCAGTGAAGCGCTTCTCTACATTTTTAGGCCTTGTGCCTACTTTGCCTCACTTGCTTTGTGCTTGATTTTGCTTGTACTGTGATCTATATATATATCTGCATGCTTGCACTTGCTAGGGTATGATCACTGTATTGTTTGTTCTCTTTTATATAACTCTGCATGTGAACTGGCCTTGTGGCCTTTGCTTGTGCTCGGTATTTGCCGGAAGTGTGAACGACTGGAGGATGCCCTCCCCACGACAAAAGTCGTGTAGGGTATAGTGGGGTAGCCCATAAGGGGTACAACCCAATTAGGGTTAGTACTTGTACCCAACTTGCACGGACGTCCTTGAGGACAGGCAGGAGGACTTTGAGTGCCTTGCAGCTGCTGTACCTCATCTCGTGGCCATGCTGCTTGCGCGTGAGGGAGACTCGGATGCACCAGACATCCCGAACTCGCGCTCTAACACAGAGGCGATTACGGGTCCCTACTCCTCTTAGTGGCAGACAACCATGGACGCAGAGATGGCATCTTGGAAGTCCACAGGCACCTATGTCGACGCAGTTCCCCCTTCTGGGGCAAACATAGTTGATGGCATGTGGATTTTCAGGGTGAGGCGGCCTGTCTTCAAGGCTCGTTACGTTGCACGAGGCTTCAGTCAGCGACAGGGAGTTGACTTCTTCCAGAACTTCTCCCCTACCCCGAAGATGACCACTCTTCAGGTGTTGCTGCACGTCGCAGCTCAGCGTGACTACGAGCTGCACTCTCTTGACTTCAGCACAGCTTTTTTCCAGGGCAGCTTGCACAAGGAGATCTGGCTACGCTGCCCACGTGGCTTCACTAGGTTGTTTCCTGCAGGTACCCAGTGGAGCCTCCGGCCGCCAGTCTACGGTCTCCGCCAGGCGCCTCGCGAGTGGCACGACACACTGAGGACGACGCTTTTGGCTCTTGGGTTTGCTCCTTCTACTGCTGACCCGTCGCTGTTTCTACGCACCGACACTTCGCTTCCGCCGTTCTACGTCCTCGTGTACGTTGACAACTTGATCTTTGCCACTGCTGACACTGAGGCACTCGCCCACGTGAAGTCGAAGCTGCGCAAGAGACACACCTGCACTAACCTGAGTGAGCTGCGCAGCTATCTTGGCTTGCAGATCATCCGGGACAGAGCACGGCGCACCATCACCCTGACTCAGTCACACATGGTGCACGAGGTCCTTCAGCGCTTCGGCTTCCCGTACTCCTCGCCACAGTCCACTCCTCTGCCTATCGGACACTCGCTCTCAGCTCCACCTTCGGACGAGTCCGTAGAGCCGAGTGGCTTGTATCCAGAGCTTGTGGGCTGCCTCATGTACCTGATGACCTACACTCGACCTAACCTTGCCTACCCTCTTAGCATCCTGACACGCTACGTTGCGCCCGTGAGACACCGACCAAAGCACTGGGAGGCCGCTAAGAGGGCGTTGCGCTACTTGTGCAGTACGTCGGGCATGGGGCTCGTGCTTGGAGGACGGGGTCCAGTTGTCCTCACTAGACACGCAGACACTTCTTGGGTTGACAACTTGGCTACGCAGCGGTCGTCACAGAGTTACACTTTCAGCCTTGGCTCCGGCTCTGTTTCTTGGCGGTCTACCCGCTCGTCTTCGGTTATCAGTTCCAGTTTTGAGACTGAGATCTACGCAGGGGCCATGGCTGCACAGGAGTTACGCTGGCTCACCTACCTGCTGACCGACTTGGGAGAGCGGCTTCGTTCTTCTCCTGTGCTGTACGTAGACAACAAGGCCATGATTGCCTTGTGTCAGGAGCACAGACTGGAGCACAGAACGAAGCACATCGCTCTGCGTTACTTCCTTGCTCGAGAGTTGCAGCTGCGTGATCAGCTTCGTCTTGCTTACATGGCGACTCGGGCCAACACTGCTGATATATTCACCAAGGCATTTCAGTCTGGTGATCATCAACGCTTGTCTACTGTTTTAGGCCTACCTACTTTGCCTCACTTGCTCACTACATGACTTTGCTTGTACTGTGATATATATGTATACCTGCATGCTTACACTTGCTATGGTATTATCATTGTAGTGTTTGTTCTCTTTTATATAACTCTGCATGTGAACTGGCCTTATGGTCTTTGCTTGTGCTCGGAATGTGTGGTGACTTCGTGATCCACCCTGAGCTTGCTTTTCTTTTCTTGACTAGTCTTGTGACCACTTGTTCTCCCCCACTTTGCCTATGGGGTGGGGTGTGTCAAAATGTTATCTTATTTTACATTTTGTAGGCTATAGTGGGGTAGCCCATAAGGGGTACAACCCAATTAGGGTTAGTACTTGTACCCGACTCTTTCATAGTTCATTCATTCTTGTTCGTTATTTTGACATTTTATTTCGTCTGAAAAATAAGACAACTCGTTATGCTCCGTCTGAGATTTCAGACAACGAGTAAACTGTCATCTGATACCATCTGAACGTCAGACGAAACGGTTTTTTTTTTTTTTTTTTTTTTTGTTTTTTTTTTTTTTTCAGACAGCCCTTAATCCTAGCAAGAGCCCTGCACTGATGCCTACAATGCTAGTATTGCCAGCAATTCATTATGCTTGGCAGCACCTTAGCGTATTCACCATTTCTGCCTGTGACGCTGTATCTTCAGTTGGCTGGTAGCTCGATAAAAAAGGCTCTAAGAACGTGATACGGTAAGGTTCACTGGCAGATACAGTGCAAATATTTCTTGCTGGTTCAACATGAAAAATATGTGAACCATCCTTGCTCTTCTTCCCAGCAGTTCCACCAATGCTATGGTGAATGCCCTCATTAAATAGGCTTAAAGCCCTCCCTTCTCCCTCCCCCCGATTACTGCTGTCACCTCAACCACTGCTGCTCATCACTACACCTCTCCTCCTCAAACCCAAACTCCCTCACAAACTCCTCTATAAGCACATCCGTTACTGTCTCCACATCCACATCTACACTCGCATCTGTAACTGAATCACAAGAAACAGTTGCTCCCGTTCCCACGCTCCTCCCATTCCCCCCCTCCTCCACGCCTCCTATCCTCCTAACCTTCCCAGCCAACCGCCTTCTTTCCTCATTCAAAGACGTCACGGCTTTACCCTCTAGCCCACAGGGCACTATAAGCTTAAAGAACGAAAGGTCTGTGCTTATATTGAAGGCCAACCCGTGTCTTGTCACACCTCCTGATATCTGCACACCAACAGCACCGATTTTCCTTCCTGACCCTCCTTCTGACGTAATATTGGAATCACCAACTGAAATACCACCTGAAGCATCAACGCCTGCAGAATCGCCATCAGAACCCTCCTCGTCCCATCCCACCCACACCCCCGTCATTCCCGGAACTCTCCCCCGAGCCTCCACGCCGAACCTCGCAGCACCCCGAACCATAACGTCCTCCAGGCCCTCCACGTAACGCCGCGCGCCGAGCCTCAGGTCCGGCAGCCGAAGCACGGGATACAGCACGGCCTGGCCGGGACCGTGAAACGTGGCGTCACCGCCGCGCGCGGTTCTATGGACCTCCACACCCCTCGCCACTAACTCATCCTCTCCAGCGATTATATGACTCGCGCCGATTGCTTGTCGCTTACCGATCGTTACAACTGGCGGATGTTGCAGGGCGAGGAGTAGGTCTGGAGATGGCGGGATTCTCGGGGAATTTGCGGAAGCGAGGGGGAAAGCGGAAGGGGAGGAGGAGGCAGCGGTGGCGGAGCGACCAGCGCGGCGAGCGGCGGCTAGTGATTGGAGGTCCAGCGCTGTGAGGTACGGCGTGACACCGAGGCGCAGAACGCGGAGTATTGGGGGCGCCATTGGGATGAGTTGCGAGCGAGGAAAAGGTGGAGGAGCAAGGGTGGACAAACAAAAATGTCAGAAGCGGGTGCGTTATTGACAGGAGCAATGAATGTATATCGCTATAAATCTATTCATAAACACTCCAGCTTCACAAAGTGACTTATTTTCCCACTGGCACATGCAAGTGCCCAGATTGCATCTCATAAACTCATGAATGTAACACATTGAATATTATAGAACATATACTATATAGAGAACACACCTGCATTCAAGCCACGTTGTGTCATAAGCGTTTCTATATTCTACCTCGTGCCTGGCCTGGAACAAATGTAGCTTGCAAAGGCGTCTCAGGGTCACAATTCCCCGTCTCAAATGCAGCCATGGGGCGATTGGCATAATACACGGCTGTGCTTGAATACCCAGATAGAGAAACAACATAGGCATCACAAGAGGCCAGCAACAACCATTCCGTTACCAGCTCTTGAAACAGTCTCTCCTGCTCCCGCTTTGTCTCTTCCTGCTGTTGCCTGTCAAGCTCTCCTTGACTTACAGTAGAGGAGCCATTGCCAATGCTGATAGAGCTCAGACTATTGGAATGCCGAGGTATAAAGTTGGTCGTGAGGACCTAGCAGTTCAGAAAAAGGACGAGAGAACGAGAGAGACAAAGACCGGACTGAAGAATCAAAGGATTATCTTGTTCCCAATACTTTTCAAAGCAAGGAATCAGCTATTATCATAAAGAGCTAAATCCCAGAGAGGGAACATTGGAAAAGGCACAAGGAGAGCCGAGTGCTGGTTCTCCCGCTTTCCCCTTTCCCCCCAGTCCACCACACCCACACACACACACCCCCTCCCCTCCCCTCCCCTCCCCCCTCTCCCCCCACCCCCCCCACACACTGACCTTGTGGGGAAACCTGGATTTGATGGCAGCCTTGAGCTGCGCTGAGTTGGTGACGAGCATCCAGCGCACCACAAGGGATGATGGGAACCAGAACGCCTCCACACGCTGGTGCCACGGGGAAACAGGGCGAGGGAGTTCCCAGGACGGTTGGAAAGGGATTGTGGGGAGAGATGAGGAAGGGCGGGAGAGATCAGGAAGGGCGACGGTAGAAAGAACGATTGGACCCCATGCGCTTGCACAGTCTTGGGGTTGGGGAATGAGGGGTTGGGGAATGTGGGGTTGGGAGAAGAACATCGTGAGAGGATGATTATCTTAGACCTATGGATAGTCTATCAACAGAGAAGATGGATGCAGGAAAACTAAAGATAATATGAAAAATAAAATAAAATAAACTCAACGTGACTGTGAAAAGGGTAACAAAACCCTGCACCTCTCCGCCTCACGGCCCACCAAAAACCCAAACCCTGAAACCCCAAACCCTTCCCTTCCCAACTTCCCCACTTCCAGATTCCCCAACCCCCCTCTCCCCGACTCACCCTAGCACACAGAATCCATTTCCTGGAGTGAGCAAGCAGCACGTCAACCTGTGTGGCATTGAGCACCTTGGGCTTGCCCCTGTCACCCGCCCACACCACAGAATCGTTCACCCGGATGTGTATCCCCACTGTCGCCACCCTGGGCCTCTTCAGCCCTCCCCGCGCTACCCACCGCCTCCCCCGCAGGCGGTGCTCTATGCTGTGGAAGAGCGCTTGCACCTCTGGCTTGGGCCTGTGGGGAGAGTGAGCGGGGGGGAGGAGGGGGGACGGGGAGGGGAGGGAAAAGGGAAAAGGAGGGAGGAGATGGAGAAGAGTGCTTGCACCTCTGGCTTGGGGCTGTGGAGAGTGTGAGCGGGGGGGAGGGAGGGGAGTGGGATGGGGGGAGGGGGAATGGGGAAGAGTGCGGGGAAGATGCCTGCACCTCTGGCTTGGGGCTTTGGGGAGAGCTTGGAAGGGATTGGTGAGAGGATGGAAGAGGGAGGAGGGAGAGGGAGAGGCGGAAGGGTGGAGGGGGAGGGGATGGAAAGAGCGGAACATAAGGAAACAAGTGTGGAAAAGAGAAGACAAAAGGTAGGAGAACGGCATTCGGTCTTCAGGACCTTCTAAACCACTTCCCTCCGTTTTCACCCTTCCCCCCCCAACCCCCCTCCCCTGGCCCCCAATAATCCACCCACACTCCATCTCTCTCCCGCTTCCCATCGTCTGTCATCCCCCCTTATCCCCTTTCTGCCTCTCCCCTCCCCCTCCCCCCTTCATCTCACCGCATGAGGAACCGGAGGGAGCACCCGAGTGCATACGGCAGGCGCATTCCCAACGCCTTGAACCTATCCGCCCACTCCCCCTCCGCCTTCATCTGCAGCCACGTCAGCACGCCGCGGTTGCTCGTCATGCGCACATTCACCGCCCCTTCCAGTTCCGTAAAGAACGGCTCGATCTTGACAAACTTATTCCGCAGCCACAGCAGCACCACCTCCCCGTCGCGCGCGCGCTCTGGGACTGTCCTGCCCTCGCTATCCTCCACCAGCGCGAGTTTCCGCGCAGGTTCCAAGGGCACGAAGGGGCCGGGTGTCCAGTTGATCATGTTGGATTCGAAGGCTGCGGGGAGGCAGTCGTTGCGTATTATGAGCGCGCGGTTGTCGAGTACAGCCGTGACGAATGCGGTTACCAGCCCTGCGAGCACGTCCGCGAAGCCGCCACAGCCGTCCAGCCACTCGAATGTGAGGAAGCGGATGGGAGGGTCTTGTGGGGATGGGGGAGTGGGGGAGAGGGAGGGAGAGGAGGGGGGGGACGTGGAGGAGGAGGAGGAGGAGGAGGAGGAGGAGGAGGAGGAGGAGGAGGAGGGGGAGGAGGAGGAGGAGGAGGAGGAGGAGGAGGAGGAGGAGGAGGAGGAGGAGGAGGAGGGAACAGACGTATTTTGAGGTGCTTCTTGCAACTTCCGCCGCCGTTTCAACTGCTGCTGATTCTCCTGCTTCTGCTGCTGCTTCTGCTGCTCCTGCTTTTGCTGCTGCTTCTGCTGCTTCTTCTTCTGCTTCTGCTCCTTCTCCTGCTTCTGCTCCTGCTCCTGCTCCTTCCTCTGCCCCTGATCCTGCTTCTGCTTCTGCTCATGGTTCGGTTTTTTCTTCGGCTTCTGCTCCCCCACCTCCTCCACCTCCCCCGTCTTCGCCTCCTTTCCCTCCTCCATGCCTTTCTTCTTCTGCATCTCCCCCTCTCCCCCCTCAGGCGTACCCATCCGCTGCCGTGTCACAGAATTCTTTACCACTAGAGAGGGCAATCCCTGCTCGTTCTCCCCTTGCGTCTCCGCCTGTTGCCGTGTTACATTCGGCTTATCTACTAAAGGTCCCTCAGAAGGCACTTCCTTTTTGCCCTTCCTCGTCTTCTCCGCCTGTTGCCGCGCCAGATACGCTTCGAAGGCGCGTTCCAGTATTCGACTGTGCAATGCGGCGTAGTCACTAGCCCACGACCCGCATAACCCATCTGCTTCGGAGAAATTGAAGTTCAGAAAGCGCGACACGCGATCCCGCTGTCGCAGGTGCCGCTCCTGAGACCGGCAGGTGAATGCGGGCGTGAAAAGAGAAAAACACGAACCAAATGAACAGATAGAAAGCACAGGCTGGGAGAGAGAGCGCGGGAGGGGGGAAAGAGGACGAAGGAGAGGGGGGAGGGAGGGAAAGGGTGAGGGAGAATGCAGGAGTAGAAAAGGAGGTAGGGAATGTCCAGACCTGTGGTTGCATGTATCGCTTCCCGATCCGTAATCCCTTACCGCGATGCGCTGGGTTGTAGTCAGCAAAGCGAACGCGAGAACGAGATGCAGAACAACGACCAGCCGCGCAGTCGACCCGCGAAACGCCATTCTGGTAGGCGGTTGTCCCGAGTTCATGTGTGGCTCTCGCGGAGAGAGAATCAGTGAACACGGGAGGCTGAATTTGGCGAACGACAAGATCGAGGGGAATGAGCAACACGAGTTAGATTCGTAGGACGAGAAAAACCAAGGGGATTTTGACACCTAGAGGATTTAACGCTGGATAACCTCCAGGGTACGGGCCCCGTCGCGTGGTTTGACGAAGAGCGTGAAAACGTTGTAGCAGAGATGCGATGCGACGTGCTGGAGACTCACTGCTCACAGATTTGTGAGAAGGCATACAATACTGCTCCCTGAATGGGTGTCACACTGATTGGCTGTGTGTGTTTCCCAAACCGTATTCGAGTGCGGTTCAACGAGTTTGATCGCATTCCAGAGCGTTCAAAAGAGAACTTTCAGGACCTACCTCGTCCCTCTGTCGAACTCTTCCCCATTCTGCTGTGCCATACTTTTCCCGCCTCGAAATTTGTATTCCCAAACGTTTTCCCTCCTTCTCAAGGCACTTTCGGCTCTAGGATTGGCTCCTGAGCGAACAGCTCTCACACGACCTGCGCCGCGGAGGGTCTAGGGCGCATTCCTACGCAGGGACACCATATGAGGGTACGTGCTTAGCCTGTGTCAAGTTTCCTGACACAAGCCTATCGGCGTCACCGATCTTTCCACGTCGTCATCAATCAAATCCAAACCCTTCACAGCTTCATGTCAGCCTGCCTGACACAGGCTAAGAACGCACCCTGAATATCTCAGCGGAATTGGGTCGACGGCCCCCGTCGACCTGACCGTAGGGCAGAAAAAAACTAAAACCCCCTCGGATGGCATGCGATCCGAGGGAGGCATCAACCCTAAACACATCCTCCACGTGTTTAGGGTTGATGCCTCCCTGACCGGATGCATGCCCGAATGGTTTTTTTTTTTCCCGCGGGCAGCGAGCTCGACTGGGCGGAATCTCTTGTCCGCTGAGGTTACCATGCTGAGTATCTCAACGGGTCTGACACTACCTACGACCTCACCGGAGGGCAAAAAAATAACTAAGGACTGTCAGAACATTATAGCTTTTATATTTGTGTAGGCTATAGTGGGGTAGCCTATAAGGGGTACAACCCAATTAGGGATAGTACTTGTACCCAACTCTTTGCTAGTTCATTCATTCTCGTTCACAACATTCTAACATGGTATCAGAGCAGGTCCCCTAGAACCGATTTATTTTTGGGCCCACCACCTACTGCCCTGCTAGCCTAGGCCCGCGCCCGTTGCCCCTAGGCCCCGGCCCGTCGCCACCCCTAGCCTTGGCCCCGTCGACCCCGTCGCCCCTAGCTCGGCCCCGTTGGCCCCGTCGACCCCGTCGCCTCTAGCCGCGCCCCTCGGCCCCTAGGCCCCGTCGCCCCTAGCGTTGGCCCCGTCGCCTCTAGCTCAGCCCCTCGGCCCCGTAGCCTCGGCCCCTTGGCCCTGTCGACCCCGTCGCCCCTAGTCGCGCCCCCCGTCGCCCCTAGCCGCGACCCCCGTCGACCCCGTCGCCCCTAGCTCGGCCCCTCGGCCCCGTTGGCCCCATCGACCCCGTCGCCCCTAGCCGCGCCCCGCGACCCCGTCAGCCCCGTTGCTCCTAGCCGCGCCCCTAGGCCCCTAGGCCCCGTCGCTCCTAGTCGCGCCCCTCGGCCCCTTGGCCCCGTCGACCCCGTCGCCCCTAGCTCGGCCCCTCGACCCAGTTGGCCCCGTCGCCCCTAGGGAATATCGCAGGATCGTGCTTGTATATTGATCCGCACAATCGAGTGTGCGGATCGGTTGGCGAAACGATGCGCCCACGTCGTTTTAACAATCGCCTCTGTTTTTTTGCTTGGATGTATCAGAAGCGAAATTTTGGACTTATGCGCGACACCAGCACAAAAAAACATTCGTCGTTCAATCCCACCTGCGACATTCGCAGACCACAAAACAACCAACCTGACGAAATGAACTTACCCACTCGAACCGCAAAGTGCAGATTTTTTTTGCGACTCCAATTCGCCGCTCTGTGAAATGACTCCAATTCGCAGGCATCATGTTCAATCATGCATGTTGTGTTCAGTTCGTGAACATCAGTCGCACTTTGATATCTCGGACTGATCTCGCGCAATCAATGATCAGTTGCACAAAATATTGACAAAAACCTTAATGTAGCATGGTTACGGGCTATTAAACATGGTAACCCATCAGGGCCTATGATTCACATTTAGGCACGTTAATGCATCAGGGTCCCTCTGTGTAGAATCCCTGATCGTTAGTGTCCCCCCCAAAAAAAACATGAAAATTCAGTGTTACCTTAAAAAAAAGTCTGATGCGTTAGTGCTCCCTTTTTGTAAAGGCTGATATTGAACTTAAAATAAGATAACACTAGGCACGAACGCGATGAAATCCCAAGCGGATGGAAGGAAAGCATGGAGCAGAATGGGATGGGAGCCTGGATGGCAGGTAGCACGACTGGGCGGCGTGGATGCATCAGTGCTTGCCAGCACGATTTAGACAAAACGGGCCACAGGACCAGAGGTGCAAGCAATGGGCCAGAAACCCTCGCATCACAGCCTGCCAACATCGCTCTGTTGCAACCTTGTCATAGGTCAACCCACATAATGCTGCAAAAGTGGCCAATGATCGGACCAAGCGCGCCAACAAAGCAGCCCTCAAAGCGAATAACACGGAGCAAATTTGTCTAGTAGTCACAGCCAAGTGGTGCTAACACCGCGGGAATCTGAGATTCACTGTACTTCCGGGCAACTACACTTGGAACGTGTAGGAATCACATTCAGTGTCAGTTTCGTTACAACGTAGTGTAATAAGTGTCCCTTAAAAAAAAAACCTGAAAGTTCAGAGTCATCTGGCCCCTACAGGCTGAAAATCCAGTCCCCCAAAAAACTGAACACTGGAAAATCATGGTAGGTACAAAAAAATCCCTGAAAATCAGGAATTTCAAGGGAAAATTCCTGATATCGTAGGGCCTGTAATCGATCCACACAGCGATTGTGATAGACGATCGATCTGCCAAACTAACGAACAAGAGTGAATGAACTATGAAAGAGTTGGGTACAAGTACTAACCCTAATTGGGTTGTACTCCTAATGGGCTACCCCAATATAGCCTACAGAAATGTAAGAACTATAACATTCTGACACACCCCCATAGGCAAAGTGGGGGAGAACAAGTGGTCACAAGACCAGTCAAGAAAAGCAAAGCAAGCTCAGGGTGGATCACAAAGTCACCACACAGTCCAAGCACAAGCAAAGGGCCACAAGGCCAGTTCACATGCAAAGTTATATAAAAGAGAACAAACAATACAGTGATCATAGCCTAGCAAGAGTAAGCATGCAGGTATATATATATATCACAGTACAAGCAAAGTCACGCAGTAAGCAAGTGAGGCAAAGTAGGCACAAGGCCTAAAACAGTAGAGAAGCGCTGATGATCACCAGACTGAAGTGCCTTGGTGAATATATCAGCAGTGTTGGCCCTAGTGGCCACGTACGCTAGACGAAGCTGACACGCTGCTGCAACTCTCGAGCAAGGAAGTATCGCAGAGCGATTTGCTTCGTTCTGTGCTCCAGTCTGTGCTCCTGACACAAGGCAATCATGGCCTTGTTGTCTACGTACAGAACTGGAGGCGAACGAGGCTGCTCTCCCAAGTCAGTCAGCAGGTAGGTGAGCGAGCGTAGCTCGTGTGCAGCCATGGCCCCTGCGTAGATCTCAGCCTCACAACTGGAACTGAGAACCGAAGATGAGCGGGTAGACCGCCAAGAAACAGAGCTGGAACCGAGGCTGAAGGTGTAACCCTGTGACGACCGCTGCGTAGCTGAGTCGTCAACCCAAGAAGCGTCTGCGTGACCAGTGAGGACAACTGGACCCCGTCCTTCAAGCACGAGCCTCATGCCCGACGTACGGCACAAGTAACGCATTACCCTCTTTGCAGCATCCCAGTGCACCTTTCGGTGCCTACCGGGAGCCACGTAGCAAGCCAGGAGGCTGAGAGGGTACGCAAGGTCAGGTCGTGTGCACGTCATCAGGTACATGAGGCAACCCACAAGCTCTGGGTACGGACCATTCTGCTCTACTGACTCGTCCGAAGGTGGAGCTGAGAGCGAGTGGCTGGTCGACAGAGGAGTGGGCTGTGGCGAGGAGAACTAGAAGCCGAAGCGCTGAAGGACCTAGTGCACCATGTGTGACTGAGTCAGTGTGATGGTGCGCCGTGCTCTGTCCCGCGTGATCTGCAAGCCAAGATAGCTGTGCACTTCACCAAGGTCAGTGCAGATGTGTCTCTTCTGCAGCCCCGACTTCACAAGGGTCAGTGCCTCAGTGTCAGCAGTGGCAAAGATGAGGTCGTCGACGTACACGAGGACGTAGAACGGCGGCAGCGAGGTGTCGGTGCGTAGAAACAGCGACGCGTCAGCAGTAGAAGGAGTAAACCCCAGAGCCGAAAGTGTAGTCCTCAGCGTGTTGTGCCACTCGCGAGGCACCTGGTGGAGATCGTAGACTGGCCACCGGAGGCTGCACTGGGTACCTCCAGGAAACGACCCAGTGAAGCCAGGTGGGCGGCGCAGCTAGATCTCCTTGTGCAGGCTGCCCTGCAAGA